CTCCCCGGTTCTTCATTCTCTCCCCTTAAACCACTTCCGTGGCTTCCTCTCTTGTCCCCGGGGTGAATGGGTCCACGATCCCCATTTCCAGCGTCGACCCAGGAAAAGCATGAGAAGTCTCATCCCGACGAAGTTGCCCTGCTCTGAGCAGCCCCCAGGTCCAGTGGGAGCCCCCTCACACTCTCCCCAGGACCCCGGCCTGCCCGTGTCGTCTGCATCAGGTGCCCTCTCCGCCCTTACTCGAGGGGCAGAGCAGCTAGCTGCGAGGGTTGCCAGGGGTCTCTATGCCAGCAGTGAGGGAGAGAAAGAGGGTGAGGCCCTCTCTTCTGCCCCTTCCCACCGGCCCTCACGGCCTCCTCTTCCTGGGGAAGCTCTTGGTGGCTTCCCTGGATGGGGAAGGCCGGGGTCCACATGCCCGGGCGGAAGGTGTGTGCAGAAGCCTGGGTCACACTACGCACCTCACTGCCCCAGGAGTGCAGCCCTCAGCACGTGTGGAAGGAGAACTTCAGGGAAATGGGTGACCTCACTTTCCATACCCCTCCCCATCGCGGCTGGCACCACTGACCCCATCTCTGAGCACATGGAAAGGGGTCCTAGACAGTCACTTTGAGGACATCAGGTGGGGTGGCCTCGTCTGGGGCTACTGACAGGAGCCTCTGTTGCAGACAAGGCATCAGGGGCCAGTGACAACCCTGCGACATCCCTGCCCACTCTCTGACTTCTCTGGGACCTGCCTTCTCTCGGAGAAGGGAAGGGCAATGACAGTGCCAGCATCTGTCTACTGAGTCTCTCCTGTGTCCTTGTATACTGAAATTGTTGTCCCATTTTACAGATGAGACAATGTGGTGCAGAGGGTGACATCTTACCCAAGATCATCGGCCAGTAAGGGGTAGAGACAGGACTCAAAGCCGGGCCTGAAGCTCTGAAACCCATGCTCTGTCCCCCTACCCTGCTGCCTCGGGTCCTCATTACCCTGTGGCTGGGCTCCTGGCCCTTTCCCCGCCCCCTCCCTGCCTGTCCCAGGGAGGGTCCACACAGTGTGGGGAAGGGTAACATGAAAGGCTGTCTTCCCCAGGTTAAGCTGGTCCCTCCCAGCCATGAATCATGCTGTGGGACCTGGGTCTAGCCTGGGAGGAAGTCAACAGCCCTGGCTTTCGTCGTTAGCTTAGGGGCAAGGAATGTGGACAGAGGTTGACAGAGTATCTGCTCTGCGGGAAGGCGTGCCACTGACACAGCCCATTATCAGATCGGGATACCAGCAGGGCTGCAGGGCAAAGGAGGGGAGGGCTCAATCCTGCTCACGGCGGAATTCAAATGCTGTGGGGAGCGTTTAAAGCAAAGGAGGAAAGTGAGCAGTGTGGCTGAGGGGCAGGGTTGTGGGAGAGGAACGGAGCACCCTGGAGTCCCGGGGAGGCCCATAATTACTCAGGAAGCCGGGGACTATAATTAGGCCATCCTGGCCCATTAGGGTCGAGCCACAACTGACTGCATGTCTGGGACAAGTAGGTGGTCTGCACTGGGAACCCGGAGGAGGTGGAGGTGGGGGTGAGCAGAAGTACTGAGTCTGTCAGTGCCCAACACTCCCCACCCATGGGTGGGGTAATGCGTGGGCAGGAGGGGCCCGCAGTCCACCTCCCAGTCCAAAGCAACAGGCCAGCTTACGAGGACGGAAGGAAACAGAAACGGAATGGGCGACTCTTGAAAGGCCATGGAAGGAAGGCACACTGGCCTGGGCTTTGGGGGACCCTGGTTTGAGTCCCAGGTCTGGTATTAACCAATTGGATGCCTGGGTAAGTCTCTGTCCCTCTTGGGACCTCAGGCTTCCCTCTGTTCAGTGAATATACTGGCCTAAGTCAGGGACTCTCAATACCGGCTGTTGTTACCTGAGGAACATTGAAAAAATGACAATGGACTTCCACTTCTGTGATGCACTAGATTGTAACAGACGAAACTTCCCACTGAGAATAATCTGAATCATCAGATCAAATACCAAGACATACTCCTGATGGCTTTGGAGGGAGATCAAAGGCCAAAATCACAGGGAGAAGGGAGGCTCATGAAGTCAGCCTGGCAGTCTTTGGCACTTTCCTTCTCAAGGCATTTGTTGATGAGTGATCAGTTTGAGCAGAGAAGCTGAGAAGCCAAACGAAACGCTGCAGCCGTCAGGCTGAGAAGCTGAGTAGGGCTTTCAGTGGCTTCACTGGTGCTGGGGTGGAAGGATGCCAAGATTCAGG